GCTGCCTGACCTTCCTTATTTTGTATCGAAGGGTTATGTATCCTTATTTGCATAGTGTTGGGCTCTTATATCCAATAAGATAGCCCAATTAAGTATTTGAAAGTCCAACACTATTATTCGAGCCTGAACAGTAGTATGATCAATCATGCTTTACGTAAAACATTAATTGTTTTTACTATCGTTCGATAATAGGGAAATAAATAGATAAACTTTGAAATTTAAATTGAATTTCAAGAACATTCGGGTGCGGTGTCAAAGATGGAGTTCCTAAATGTACATTTGACCATTACCGGATACATAACCAATATACGGTGTGTGATTGTTTTTATCAACTTACACTTTATTTGAATTTAATTGAATAAATATAATTGGGATAAAGACCAAAAATGACACTAAGCTTTTTAGCGAATCTCGGATTAGACACTAACGTTTTAAGTAGACCAAATAAACACAAAATTATAGTTTTGGGGTCCATTTATACCACCCTTTAACGCCTCCGTTACCCTTCCCCGTCGTTACCCAAAAGCCCTTCCCCTTCGTTACCCAAAAGCCCTTGCCCACCCGAATCCCCGTCGTTCCCCGCCGCTCTACCTTACCCCCTTGCCCACCCAATCGACCTTGTCCATCCAACCCCTGTCCTGCCCTTGCCAGCTCCCCAGCTCCAGATCCGAGCAGCCAACCCCCGATCCGCACTCCCTAGCTCGAACTCCGACCAGCCATCCCCAGCCTCCCAAACCAGCCCCCACCCGAGCCCCAGCCTCCTCGCAACCCCCCTCTCAGCCTCGTAGCCCTTGTCACCTGTCAAGCTGCCGGCGAGATCCTATAGATCAAACGGAGCACGACCAGATCTAGATCTTTGCCATAGACGTAGAGATGAAACGACGGTAAGGTAGAGCGGCGGCTTTGACGGCAAGGCGGAGCGCCGGCTTCAACGGCAAGGCGGCGCGGCGACGAGGTGGAGCGGCGACGAGGCAGGACGATCGACCTCCATTGTTGCTTTCTCTCCTTAATCCCGATCCTTGCCATTGTTGTCTGCTCCAAGGTAGCTTTAATTGGATGGGGGAGTTAACGGGGAAGGGGTGTTAACGGGGAAGGAGTTAAAGGGTGGTCAAAATGGACCCAAAAACTATAATTTTGTGTTTATTTGGTCTACTTAAAACGTTAGTGTCTAATTCGAGATTCACTAAAAACCTTAGTGTCATTTTTGGTCTTTATCCCAATATAATTTAAGCTTTAATATCAATTTTCGGAAAAAGGTACAACGAATATCACATTTATTTTAGTAGATTGTATTAGGATCGAAGTATCAAAGTATATGCATACATAACCATATAAACATTCAACTATCAAAGTATGTATGTGCATACATCACCACATATACCATATAAACATACATATAGGCACATATGTAAGCATTGTAAGAACATTTTTTCTAATAAGACACTACTTTGAAAATAATTAAAATAGCAAAAATGATTAGAACCACGTTAGTAATTTTTTACCATGACTATGAACTATGCTTCGTAATTAAAATTCATAATGGCCACAAAAGTTATTTAAACTATATCATACTAACCTTCAATTCACTCTAAGTATTTCCTTAGAAAAAAATAGTGAGGCATTCTTTTCTAGCTTGTTCGGTGTAAAAAAACATATTTTTATGATCAAATTATAACATAAACTCAGGCTAATTGAGAATATAAGCCATATGGGAGAGAAAAGCAGAGAACAGAAAAATGTAATATAATTCATATCCTGACCTGAAGCAGTCTTTTTGCGTCCACAATGGGAGAAATTCGGTAAAGATGGAATTGAGGCCAATGATTCACATGGGTATGTCCAATCGGTGTTCTCCTTGAGAGTGACTTTGGAGATTCCCCAATGCTTTACCCTTCCGCAAGCTGAAGAGTGCGACCCGATGAAACCTTGGGGAGACGACGAAGAAATATGAAACTTGATGAAGATGCAGAAAAAATTTTGTGAGATCCGATTTTGCAGACATATATAAATCCTATTTCACTTTAGAACAGGGAACGCTGCAGCGGATCCACTAGCATTGATTTGAATGCCGACATTTGTAGCTTGGGTCCATCTTCTTCGTATTAGAGTCACCTTTGTGTTCGGCGATCTACCAAGAGATTCCACATAACGGTCTGGCAAAGAGAGCAAGATCAGATATGGAAGAAAGAAGAATGATGCTGGTGAATAACTCTGGTTGCGCATGATGCCTTTGATGGCCGTGAGACATTCAGCCGATCATAGAGAAAGAAAAGTTTAGATTTTAAAGAGCTCATGATGATAACGTGTTATGAACGAACTCAAGAGGCATAATCTTCATTAGCACATAGCGCGCGCGCGCGCACACACACACACACACACACACACACACACACACACATATATATATATATATATATATATATATATATATATATATATATATATATATATAGGGGAGAATAGGATTAGGGCTACGCTAGTTAATGGCCTTAACCCTAAGAGTACATATGGACCGAGGAGTAATGGACATCCACATATTACATTACACAAATATATTTATTCCTTTTTTATACTCCAGGGGCGTCTGGGGGAGAGGGCCTGGAGTAATCAGGGCTGAAACTCACTCCATTGAGTTTCAAGCCCTTATGTGCCAAACGGGTTTCGAACTCGAGACCTCTCACTAGACACGGTAACCTCACAATCAACTGGGCTCGAATGCTTGGTTATATCTTTATTCCTATTTAGGATAATTTCCCTGTTCTAATCGGGGTGGGCACGGACTGGGACGAGACCGGAAATTGAATGTCCTGATCTTTAACCTGATTTAGAATAACGGTTCAGAACGGGACGAGACAAGGCGTTGTCCTGCTGTTGTTCCTTTTAAATCAGTACCGAGATAAAACGGGATGGTATGAGACTCTCCAAAAAACTGTAGCGAAAAATGTAACACCAAAAAAGCAAAACTGTTTACAAAAAACCACAACACATCAAGAAAATTTCCAAAAAGCATGCAACACAACAAAAAAATCGAAGCTTAACAAGACAACTGCGAGAAACAAAAAACTATAGCATAAAAAACACTCCAACAAACACAATACTACCACGAAATTTGCAAAACTAAATTGCTAAAACAATGTTATGAGACGTGAAATCTATGGGAGTAAAAGTTAGTTTTTTTAATTGTTAAATCAATTTTAATAATAGTGAATTTCTTTTTGGTATACAGAAGATAATTCATACTTGGCAGTTTTATAAACTACAAAATATTTGTAGGTGTTCTGCATGTTAGATATTTGGGCTGTGTAATAAAATGAATATTACTATGTACCCTTATTTGAACTACTAATTGAAATGATGGTAGACTCACTAATAAACTACAAAATACAATTTTGAATTCATGACAATAAAACATAACAGAACATAATAGATTTCTCTTGTCCCAATCTCTTTTGTTTCGAAACAATTTGAGATCTATACTGGACACAAATAGTTTGTCTCAAATATAACGCGACATTTTCGAAACGAATTTCAAATAATCAAATGTTCCAAAATGGATCAAGTGGGGCTCTTTTGCCCGGCCCTTTTTAACCATTTTCTGAAGAAAAAAAAAGTAGAGCACGGGTAGTAAACGCTTGTAACATACTCCGTTGTCCGTGACAAATTATATTATACGCCCGGGTGTACATGTACACCCGATTTTTAAATGACGTGGCCTCACTCCCTCACTCCCTGTTGCTTTTATTTATTTCAGCCGCCATTCTTTTTCATTTTTAGCCTCCATCCGTCATCCTAGTTCATTTTATATTTGTTTTGTCTTTTTTATTTTATTTTTTCGTTACTTTTTTTCTCTTCTTTCTTTTTTCTTTTCGTTTCTTTTATTTTACTTTTTTGGTACTTTTACTTTAGTTAATTTACTTTAGTTAGTTTACTTTTTTGTCTTTTTTCTTTTTTTCTTTATTTTAAACTCAAATAATTATAACGTCTAAAAAGAATAAATATATACAAATGAACATTTCAATTTTTGAAAACTCATTTTGTCATTTATGTATGTCCATTTAGTACCTTTGTTATGCTCATTTTAAAATGTTTATCCATGCATATTTCAAAAGTCTCATATTACATTAGATTCGCATAGAATTTGATTATAGACACGAGACCGCAAACCACGATACTCAATTTCATGATTCTAGTACCCAATAACGGAGGGTCGATGCTCACTGAAAATATCTTGATGTTCAACAAACAAAACATACCATTTTCATATCAATGATCATCTTGTAAGTTACGAATGCTCATTTGTATAGGTCTGTTGCTCGTTAAAAATTCATTAATGTTCATTGATCTCAATAGAGGGGGTTTGATGCTCAACAGAATAGGTTTGGTGCTCATTAAAAGTTCATTATTACTCATTCTCCAGAAGTCGTGATTTTCATCTCAATAGTGGAGGTTTGATGCTCAATTAAAATGTCTTGATGTTCATCTAACAAACCTAACAATTTTCATATTAATGTGCACTTTGTAAGTTATGTATGCTCATTTGGTACTCATGTTATGCTCATTTTTACAATGTCATATCAATGTATATTTCAAAAGTATCATATTACATTAGACTCGCATATTGAAATTAATAAGAGTGAATTATAGATATAATTTAATAAGTTTTTATAAAAGAAAAAATAAGAAAAAGAAAAAGAATTAGAAAATATGAAGCAAAGATTGTGATACTCATTATTAGCCTCCTAATACTCAATAAAACAGGTCAGATGTTCATTAAAAGTACATTATTGCTCATTTAGCGTTAGCCGTGATTTTTCGCTTAATTTACAAAAATGCCATCAAAAGAAATTAGACTGTATCAATTAAATGGGCTGTCGTTCTTAATTAATTGGGCCTTCATCAAATTCATTAAACTTTATTAAAATTGAATTGAAGCTTCAATTAAATTACAGATAGACCCTGATGCAACAGTTAGGACTTGGGTGTAGGATATAGGAACTGGTTGTCCGTAGGGGCCAGAACTTGCGAGTGAAAAATAGGTTCGCGAAGTCTAAAGCAAGGAATGGATACCATATCCTAGAATTGCTTAGCGGCAAATCGGCAATCGGCCACTCGCAACTCCAATTCTCTCTCGAACTCTTCTAGTCTTCTTCAGTCGGTGCCGTCAAGCACGTATCACGCCTGTGACTGGTCGCTGGTCGGCCATCTGACGGTCAGCGCACGGCGGCTGAGCACCGTTTAGCCTCTAGCCTAGTAGCTGATACTCCACAGCCCCTTGACTGTGCTTCTTCTTCGCCTGTAAGTTTGTTAATGTTTATTTTTTTTAGTTTCATAGACATATATGTGCTCTTCTTCTTCTCCATATATGTTTAATAAATTACAGTCTTATTTCCAGAATTCCAGATTGATAATTTTCAGGGATGGTTTGTTAAGTTTGTGTAACTGTTCAGACAAAATGACAGCCTTATTAAGTTTGTTAATGGTTTCCACTTTCCAGAATTCAAGGTTATTGGTTTAGCTGTTTAAATATCATTTCTATAAATTAGTTCAGGGAGGGCTTTAAGTCTTTAACTCCTTTAAGCTTTTAATTAAGTGTTTTATTCTTTATACTTTTCGATCTTTAAGATATGTTGGCCTTTGAGGTTTAGAATTTTATACTTCGTATAATTTATGGCTTTATATTCATGTTTACTTCTGATTTGAGTCATTTGACTATTTCAGTCAGCCACGGGCAAGTTTGGACATTTATTATGAATGTGATTTGTCATTTGTAAGTTCTAATTTGTCATTTGTGAACATCATATATTTTACTATGAATTTGATTATGATTTGTAATTATTAATCCAATTATTTAGTTTGTTAGTACTACATTAGTGTGGTACGTTAATAACTAGTAATCCCATTGCTTCTTCCAAAAAAAAAACTAGTAATCCCATTGTGAACATCTTTGATTTTTTGTTGCAACTTGCAATGAATGTTATTGTATACCTCAAAATACATTTTGTTGAATAGACATTATTATATTACATTTTGACTTTTTTTGTTGCAACATACGTTATTTAATTAAATTTTGTCAGGATAAGGAAGACCGCGAGATAATTAAAAAGGAAAGTCAATCTGACGGACAAAACCGTAGGAATCGGAGAAGAGAAGGATGAAGGAAGAAGACGGTAATATGAGTAGCACCATGGCTGCCGCCACAGTGGATACTGGCAAGGCTGACAGACCAGTATGGCTGATGAAGTGTCCATTAGTTGTCTCCAAATCATGGCAGTCTCAGGCGGCGGCGGCTTCCTCCTGCTCCCCCACAGATATTCCGCTAGTTGGTAAAGTTGTTGTTTCTCTCGATCCTCTCCAACCAGAAGATTCTCACCAAGTAACATGCTTTGTTCTCTCTCCTCCATCTTTTTCTGCAAATCAATAATAATTTACATATATATTGGAAACCTGTCAACTATTTATCAAGTATAGTATTGTTCCGGATCCATTTTTTCTTTGTGATTCAAGTGATGTCTCTGAATCTGTTTCTGTGAAGAGAAATGTCTCCATTTTGTGAATTAATACTTCAAGCTTATCCTCTGAGTCGTACCACACACCCATTAGTTATTTAATTTAAACATTTCTTCAAGGTCCAACATTCCTATCCTTATGGTGACATAATACTATATTTCATACATTGTGTTGTGTGTGAGTGTGTGTATATCTCGCTAACACGTGTGTTCATAATCAGTTTACCATGGAACTGGCTGATAATGATGTTGGGAACATCCCCAAAGGGTACTCTTTGAATATGTTCAAAGATTTTGTACCGATGTGTATTTTCTCTGAGACAAATCAAGGTGTGCGGCTTGTTCTTGTTAATAAATTGCATTTATTTTTTATGTGTAGTAGTCTGTATATCGTCTTTACAAGTAATTTTTTAAAATATTGGCCATGATTTTTTTGGGTGGGGGTTGTTCACAGGAAAGGTTTCCATTGAAGGGAAAGTTGATCATAAATTTGACATGAAGCCTCACACTAGGAATATGGAGGAATACAGGAAAATGTGTCGGGAAAGAACAAATAAATCAATGGTTAAGAACAGACAAATACAGGTGAAGCGGATTTTATATATGCTCTATTTTATGTAACATTGGATGTTATCTTTTCTACCTTTATGACATTATTTTTATTATTATGATTATTCTCATTATCTGTTTATCTTAACATCTAATTACAATTGGTTTGTTGTTGTTAACTAGATAATCGATAATGATCGTGGTGTACACATGAGGTCTATGCCTGGAATGATGGGTTTGATTGCATCAACTTCTAAGGTACTCAATTAATAATTTAATATTCATAACCTTTTTTGGCTTTATAAGTTGGATATATGTTCTGTTATATGATGTTCTTGATTTTCGGAATGCTGGATGCTTACGTCTAGATGATTTTGTGTGTAGCAGATATACGTAAAAGAATTGTCATATTTGCGTACTCGGATCCCTAGCTGATAGGCGTATCAAGAGTAAAAAAGTTAAAACATAACCCCTTATTGATAGACTAGCATTGTACGCACTACGTGCGATTTGTGCCCAACTTGTGATTATAAATTTACGAATTTTAGAACTTAGAAGGATAACTTTTGAGTGAAATAAAAAGAATAAAATACAAATGCTTAAAATATTTAGACCACATTATGGGCTTTTGCTTTGTAGATGCCCTTACTGGATTCCAATCAATATCATACAAGATTAACATAGCATATTTTTGAGGATAAATAAATTAAAATCATTTTAATATATATTTGGGGTAGTATGTACTTACCCCCATAATGTATGCAATACAGGATATTAAACATTTCAAAAACCTTTGCAAAGGGAAGCTAGTTTTGTAAATGTGAAATCTCCATATCTTAAACACTCATATGATATGGATGCTCACAGGGCATTTATAAAAAGAATTATATTATGTTGAAATTAAAAGAGAAAATTCTGAAAAATGTGCAACCATAGTATCAGTCATAAGACGTAACATATGTGTTTCAAAACACAGGTTTAATCAAAATAACTCTGGTCATATTAAATCAAATCTGATAATAATTTACCCATAGAAAAGTAGCAAGCATTTGTGTGGTTTGGCTTATGGTGGTCTATAATGAGCAACAGTTACGGTGTCTATTGTGTTACCAATACCCTGAATTAACTAAAGAGTTAAATTGAAAGAATAAAAACAAAGTTAGATTCATTCGAAATTTCGAATAGTAATTGAAGAATTAAGAATATGATCTAGGAGGTGCCTAAAAGTGAGGAGCAAAAAAACTACGTTGATACTTGCTTGCAATATATAAAGCAATGAACACACTGAGATAGGTCACTTTCACCAACTATGATTCTGTCATAAAAATATGAAATGGAAAATCCTGCCATATACTCATAAGATTAACCCATGTTTCAAGGAAAGGACAAAAGTAAGAAAGAAGAACATATCTACTTTTTCACTATAGCTTCCAACTTATGGACCTTGAATCTTGGGTCTTCAAAAGTTCAAAGTAGCTATACAAACACATGTACGCTGCATTAACTATGAAAATTATTTAAATTTTTTGTATATCATGACGTTCTGTTACCTTTAATAATGTTAACAATATCAGGAAACTTCTTATTATATATTGTTGCTGGTTTAAACAAATAAAATTAGCGTTAAATTATACCTTTGATAAGTAAAGCAAATGGCTTGTTTTTATATGGACGGATTCTTTAATCATAATACGGAGTATGATGGAGATTTAAGATGAAATAATGGCACAAAATATTATGTTAGTGAGAGTTTGTAATCTGAAAATGTATATGTTAACTGGTAGGTCATGGGCCTTCTATATTTTTATACTACTTTGTGCAGTAGTCAAGTAAGTGCAGTGTGAGTTTAGTGTGTTGTGATTTGTGAAGAATATAATCAGGTGTAGTCTACAAATAGGCTTTCAAAACTATAGGAAAACATTGTGTAGAAGGTAATTTATTTTAGTCATTGTTCAAATTAAAGAGATACTTCCTCCATCCCATCTTTCCTTTTCGGTCCGTCCCATTAAGATTGTCTCATACCAAATTTGGTAAAATTTGTGTGGTTCTAAATCATTCTTATTTTATTCTTACTTTATCAATTCAATACCAACCACATATACCCACTTTTTTTAATAACTGTGCCACTTTCTCATGTCTCTTTATTAGTGGGACAGAGGTAGTATTTGATAATTTTCAAATAACGATCGACTTAGGCGTTTCAGCAAACACTTTGTGAATATGATTAATTTTACTAAATCAAAGTGGAGACTGGTGATGAAGGTCGAAATTGCAGGTTGAATATTAGGAAGAAGCAGATGCAGTTACAGTAAATGTAATTTAACCGTGCAAATATGTTTAGCAGCACTGGTTTGTTTCAAAGTTTATTTTTAAATTTCAGAAGAACCAATAGCAAATCCATTACAGACCGACAAACCGTATAAGATTAAGTTCTAAGGCAATGCAGTACTTGTAATATATGAATACCTGGTTTGTGGAATGGAACTTAAGCAGACCAAATGAGTACGAATAATTTGTTCCCATTTCTCGCCCTGATATATAAGAATTATACTGAGATGCGATGTTGTTTAGGGTTTGAATAACTGCTGAATGAATGAACAGAAGCTAATTAACCGATTAACGGATAGCTATCTTGTTAATGGGGTTGGGAGTTATTTGGACGCTTAAATGAAGTTTTAAATGGCAAAAGAACCATTATAACGTCGATGGTTCTTATTATATAAACAGAGATGTTTGCATATTCTAAAATTTATACATTGAACACAAAATTCAAGGACAAACCGAGCAGTAAAAAACAATAAATGAGTAAATGACAAAGACAATTTTTTTTGGTATCTGTGTGCAGGAGAAAAAGAAAGCAACTGCAGTTAAGGGACCTGAAGTAAAAAGAACTAGAAGGGATCGTGGAGAACTGGAGGATATCATGTTTAAGCTTTTCGAAAGACAGCCTAATTGGACGTTGAAGCAGCTTGTCCAAGAAACAGACCAGCCTGCGGTATGTTATTACTATAATATATTTTCATCATTTTGTTGCATCTTGATGAAATATAACAAAATATTTTTGGATGTTGCATGTCCTGATGAGATATCTCAAATTCCATCCACCATCAAGTAGTTGTATCAAGTTGCCTGCTGTATAACGTTAAAACATTATCAATGTGTTGATCTGTTAGGGTCACTTTGGATCCTGGAAAATATTAGGCAAAAAGTGGGAAGGTAAATATGGTTAAAAATTAGAAAGAAAAAATATGGGGAAAATATAACATCTGCTAAACTCCATGATTTGATCTTGATATTTGTATATAATTGTTTATTTGACAGAAATTGCCCTAAATGGGAGTAGAAACAATATGGTTTTCTAGAATAGGATTATTATGTTTGCCCCATAATAGTAGTAATTATTGTCATGCTTGGGAAATGCTGTCAATTATGTCATCAACACTGCCACATTAGTGTTGCTATACTGTGGCATTAATTTACTGCTACTTAGAGATAAAAACATAGTACTTCTATGTAGGGAAACCACATCTTTACTCCTAAAAATTGTGAAATATAGGTATATATGAATTTTCAAAGAATATTAATTGTATTTGATTTTCATTCGCCAAACATGAGAAATAACTTCCCTTAGTTTTTTGTATTTAATTGGCCTGCGGTCTAAACATACCCTTAATTCATCACATGCATCACATGCTCCTTATATAGCATTTTGACATGCTCCATATATTTTTCCTTAATTCCTTGTCCTATTATGCAGCAATTTTTGAAGGAGATACTAAATGAGCTGTCAGTGTATAATAAGAGGGGAGCAAACCAAGGCACATATGAGCTGAAGCCTGAGTATAAGAAATCTGCAGAGGACACTACTGATGCAGACTAGATGTCTTATAAAGAAACACAAGTGAACATTGTATGAGTAAATTCCACCGCTAATTGTACTAATGCTGATGTATTTTACCTGGTAAATTTGCTGAATATTGCTATTATTAATTAGTTCCGAATAGTACATGCATAGGGCATGTAAATGGGTAGCATAATGGAGTGAGGTTGTTTTCTTTTGATCTGTTTTCAGTCTCAGACCAGACTTAAACAGATCAGACCAGATCGGACTTGGATAGTTATAAAATACACAGAGACCAAACATTTACCAGACTAGTTCAGATCTGACCAGATCGGATCAGGCCATCATATTTCAGTCCAAAAGAAAACATCCTGACTTCCCGAGTATATGTAGATGCATTCTCTCTTGAATATAAAGAAACACCCACTGGAAAGCATGCCCATTTACATTCCATGGTTTTAAATTGCTGATTGCATTACGTAATATTATTAGTCAGTTATTACTAATGTATTAAATCCCATTGTTTTAAAGTGATGATGTAGTTCTTAGTAGTGATAATGTGGTACTCTTTACCAGGAGCGTAACCAAGATAGATATTCACTGGGGCCAACTAGGGATGGACTGGGCCGGGCCGGGCCGGAACCGCTACTGTTTGGGCCCGGACCGGTTGGCCGGTTCTGGGCTTTTAGCCCGTTTGGGCGGGTCGGGCGGGCCGTGCTCGGGCCCAGTTTTGGGCGAACCGGCCTGGGCGTTTCGGGCCGGGCCCGGGTCATTTTTTTTCTTCACATTTTTTGCTTTTCCTAGGGTAGGGCTGGGTGTTTTAGGGAGGTTTGGGGGTGGGGGGTGGGGGGGGGGGGGGTCGGGGGATAACAAGAAAGCAAAAAAACAAAAAATTAGACATTGACCCGGGTCCGGCCCGGCCTGGCTCGGTAAGGCCTGGACCCGGTATCAACCCGGGCCGGTTCCGGGCCCAACATTTTGCAAAAAAAGCCCGCCCGAGCCTGGCCCAGAACCGGAACCGGACCGGCCCGGGTCCATCCCTAGGGCCAACTATACACTAAAGTGACTAAACACATTATATAAAAATTTTAAACACGTAAATAATGTAAACATAATGATTAATAGCCATTAAAATTCATAATAATTTTTTAAACATTACATACAAAATTTGAAACTAAAATGTTAACTTGAACCTTAGCAAAATCATCTATGACAGACTCAACGTTGATTTTGGTGGCAAATTCATTTTCAGTAAAGATGGTCAAACGATTGGTAAGAAATTCATCACTCATCTTATTACGAATTTCATTCCTGACGTGTTTCATTGTAGAAAATGAACTTTCTGTTGTTGCAGTTGATACAAACAAATACTTCCTCCGTCTCATTGCATTTTGCTAATTTTCCTTTTTTTTGTTGTCCCATTTTTTTTTGCCAATTTCCTATTAAAGCAACTAATTTGTGATTCTACACATTTCGCTCTATCTGCACAAATCTCAACCACACAGTTTTTACTTTTTGTTTTACTCCAGGGGGTCTGGGGGAGGAGGCCTGGGGGGCCTGGAGTAATAAAGGCTCAAATTCACTCCATTGAGTTTCAAACCTTTATGTGCTTAGCGGATTTCCAACTCGAGATCTCCCATTAGGCACGGTAACCTCGCAACATTGCGAGGTTAAACCAAAGTGAAAATTGTATGGAGTGAAAGTGAATAATAAAAGGTACGTAGGAGTTGACTACATTAGTAATTAGTTTAATGACAGACTTAGTATTTTATACTATCGTATCTATCAGCTACTCCCTCCGTTCCGAATTAATTGTCTTGTTTGCTTTTGCACAAGTTTTAAGAACGTGGTTGAAAAGGTAAAAGTTGTGGTTGAGATTTGAGTAGAAAAAGTTGAATTGATATGAGCCATCCATTATTGTCAAAAGAGGAAACAAAATAATTATTTTGAAACGAATCGAAAAGCAAAACAGGACATTTATTTCAAGAGGGACGAAGTAGTTTTTACTACGGGCGTAACGTGAGTAGTCCAAACTCCAAAGTGATTTGTTGTACAAACCCTGTGCACAAATTATTTATTTGCTACCACGTATGTATGTATATAATAGTATAATTTTCCAAACATAGTTCAAGTTTTCAAAAAAGAAAAAACATAGTTAGTCCAAAGAGAATGGAAAAGACTAAGCAATGGGGTATTGGGGTCCCGACCGTCCCGTCACATTCGAATCGAAATATATTTCAATACTTTATCTACGGGAGAATTCCCTAAATAGGAATAAAAAAGTTGAAATTCTAAAATAGGAGTATCATGTTTTTTATTCCATTAATAGGAGTAAATTTCTGTCAAGTTTGGCATTACTAAGGTTTAAAATATGACATTTTTTCTAAACTTGTCAGATTACTCCTATTCAGGAAATAAAAAACACGATACTCCTATTTTGGAATTTCAATACGTTTTTTCTCCAATCTAGAGCAATTTCTATTTATTTAAGTATATAGAAAGTTTAAATATGATAGAAAGTAAAGTACGAAAACAAAAAACTATTGGTAACAGCCTACTCCGTCTCATATGATAATTTTTTTGAAAGGAAAATTCATTAATCAACTCAAGCTCTCAGTGTGTAGCTTAGAGACAATACAGTCAGACGGATTACAAACCATATAAAAACTATCCGACATAAAAAGAGCAGCCCTAGCTAACTTATGAGCTACTACATTCGCGGAACGTCTATCATAAATGACTTGTATCCTAGCTTCGTTACGAAGACTGAGTCTTATATAATCCAATATAGTGTCCAAATAAGCATCTCCATCTCGTGTACCCCAATTGCTTCAGTGATCTCCGCTGACCAGTTTGTGCCTTCCACATTCCAGCCACCGCCAATAAAACTGCCATGTGTATCTCTGACTACCCACGGCCATGCTCGCCTATTATTGTGCAAATCAAACGCCGCAATCACATTAATTTTAACTTTGCCTTCTGCTGGTTTTTTCCACCCAGTCACCTGTCGTGTCACCCTTGTTGTGCCTCCAGATGCAATCTGAGTTGTCTTCCATCCACGTAGGACCGTTGCTCCCATCTCCAAACAATCGCCAATTCGCATCTTGGTTTTTCCAAACTTTGTCATTCCGGATCTTCCATATGCTCCAAAGATTAGCGATAAAAATACACAGGTCTTCATCCTGCAAATTATCAAAAAAGTTTTTAATCCAGTCAGTAAAAGTTTGTCCTTGCCGAACATATCTGGTCCCCAGTTTCCTCCACACCATATCAGCTATCCTGCAAGACTTAAATATGTGCTCTTCTGATTCATCCTCCTCAGTACAAACTTTGCACACACTTTCAACCTCCACATGCCTACGACCAAAATTGTTCGATGTCGTCATCACCTGCCATACAAAGCACTTCATTTTTGGTGGAATTTTGAGGTTCCACATCTTCGTCCATCCCATCCACCCCTGACTTGTGTGCTCTCCACGAAGTACCCTGTACCCGCTCTTTACAGTATAATGCTACTCTAAATAAAGGAGGGATTATTCCCTAATTTGGCCTGCAAAAATGAAGAATTAGGAAAGTATTTTGCTTTAAAAATTCTTCCCACAAACGAATCCAGCTGTTTGATTAATCTCCATGCTTGCTTTCCCAACATGGCTAAATTAAACTCCCTCAAAGATCTATACCCCAGTCCACCTTTTTGTTTCGGAATACACAGTTTTTATCAACTTTTCCAGATAATACCTTTTCTGTTTTGATCCGCCCCTCGCCACCAATAGTCATTCATGATCACCTCTATTTCAGCGCACAATTCTTATGTAACAGGAAGACGTTCATGGCATAAGTCGGCATAGCTTGAATCACAATTTTGAGCAATATTTCTCTTCCTGCCTTGAAGAGAAATTTATTATTCTAGTTCCGCACTCGAGTAATGATTCGTTCCTTCAGATAACTAAGGATCTCCTTTTTATTTCTCCCTATAAGGTAAGGTAAGCCCAAATAAGAAGCATTATTTTCTTCCGTCTTTACCCCCAGCCAATCTCCAACAATCTTCCTCTTCCCTTCATTTAGATTTGGGCTAAATTTAATGGTAGATTTCTGATAATTCACCATCTATCCAGAGCACCCTTCATATCTTTGCAGAATGTGTTTAATCGCCTCACATTCCTGTTCTCTAGTTCTAAAAAATAGGAAACTATCATCTGCAAAAAATAGATGAGATATTCTTGGGGCTCCTCTCGCCACAGAAATCCCCAAAATGTTGTCCATACTTTCCTGTCTGCGGATAAGAGCGCTAAGACCCTCTGCAACTAAAATAAATATGTAAGGGGACAGTGGGTCCCCCTGACGGATGCCACGTTTAGGAGAAAAGGGTCCAATAAGATCTTCATCAAAAGGAATGAAGCACTCCACCGATTCCATGCATTCCTTGATCAGGCCAATCCACCTCTCGTCAAAATTCATAATTCGCGTAATAGCATCCACATAACCCCATTCAACTCAACCATAAGCCTTTCTTTTCAAATAATGTAGAGATTCAAAAGCTATCATAACATTAACAATAATTGATCTGCCCGGGACAAAAGCACTCTGGTTGACAGTGACTAGGTCATTCAGAATTTTCTTAAGTCTATTAGCCAGAACTTTACTGAACACTTTAAAAATAACATTGCATAAATCTATTGGCCTCCAGTCCTCCATGCCTTTAGGTTTTTCTTTTTTAGGAATAAGGATTAAATTAGTTTTATTTACCTTGCGGGGGACTTTACCAGTTTCCATGATATTCTGACAAAAGCACACAACATCTTCGCCCACAATCTCCCAATAATGCTGGAAAAGAGCCGGGTTTAATCCGTCCGGACCCGGGGCTTTGTCAGGATGCATATCAAAAACAACTCGTTTAACTTCCATGGCCGTAATTGGCTTCATTAAATCGTGGTTTTGCTCAGGCTTCACATTGGCCAAATCCCCCATCGTCCTCTCATCCACACTAGTACCATGAGAGGTAAACAGCTCAGTAAAATAGTCCTCCACTATACGCCCAAGTCTGGTACGATCCGTCTCCCATTCTCCACTTGAGAGTCTAAACCCTTTCATTTTATTTCTTCGGCGTCTTTGCTTTACTGCATTATGGAAGAACGTAGTATTCTTATCTCCTTCATGTAGCCAAAAGGTTTTTGCATGCTGCTTCCAGAATATATTTTGCTTTTCAAGGAGATAAACAAGAGATTCCTTAACTCGGTTAAATTCAGCCGCATTCCATCTGCCTCCCTCTGCTCACAGGACAACTAGCCCCTTTTTACAAACATCAATTCTGCTCTAAAAACCCACTTTCCTGCTCTTGCTCCATTGGTCAAGTGCCCAGCCACAACCATTTAATCGTTGCCAAATCTTCATCCCAGTAGAATTGTTCCATGCCCTTTGTATCACTTCACGGCAGTCGTTCTCGTGGAGCCACATATTTTCAAATTTAAAAACTTTCCTCCTTCTAGTACTACTCCCCTTTTTTGGACGAGTATAAAGCAT